AAGCCTTTATCAAAACAGCAGTGTGGGTGGGGAAAAACAACTAAATGATTTTCTCATAGCTTCTTCCACATGCTGCTAGCACACACAAGCCAACTGGTACACAGAGAACTGAGTACCAGTCTCAGGCTGCAGTGTTGCTGGTTTTGGGGCAGAGAGAGAAAAGAGGTGATGAATGATTCCTAGACACATTTCCAGTAACTCAATGAACTTGCACACATACTTCTAACAGTGAATTGAGACAGTATCATACTGCTCCTCAATGAAGAGTAAGGAATAAGTCATTTGTGTTCACCTTTCAGATTAAAGCCATTTCTACTATGTAAATAATTTTCATTCTGTACTATCTACCTTAGTAACCCTCCACAGAAATACAAATTTAGACTTAAAAGAGGTCAGATTCAAGGTGGTTTCCATGTTGTCAGGGATATTCCTAGCTGTTTTCAGCTGCAGCTCAGAGAGAGAACTTAACTTGGGATGAACAAGGCTGAACTGATATTTTATAACAAACCTATTTGAGATGCTTTAAAACATGTCAGTGATCCTACATATGCTGATGGCATACAAACAGTAACAATTACCTTTTTCTTGTTGAAGCAATTGACATCTGTCATTAAGGTCTTTTATCAGTTTAGATGATTCTTCCTCTTTTGTTTTGAGGGTATCCCGCAGGATCTCAATATCTTGGTCTTTCTTTATCACTGTCTCCTCCATCCGGGCAACATCTAGCTTGTATTTGTCAACTGTTTCCGCAACACTACTGTGGGAGAAAATTCAGGTACTTGTTACCACTAAATTTTGCTGGAAGACTTACTCTTCAGCACAAAGAAGAAATGCTTAGGACTGTTGGTTTCCAACAGGAAAACTGACTTCCCCTGCTTTCCCAAACACGAGTTTTTGCACTTTAAGACAGGTTAATTAAAGAGCAATTTATCTCAACACTGATGTTTTGTTTTAAAAGAAACATACAATCACATAAATATAAACCTTTATATTTATAAAACATTATTAGTCATCATAACTGATTTACAGATGACTGCTACATCCAGGTTTCTATAAAGCTGAGTTTTCATAGAAAAGCATACACATTAATAAACCACATTTTACAAGAATAAGCAGTCTTAATATATACAGTCAGTTACTGAGGTATCTCTTAGTGAGTAAACTGATTGAGGGAGGAGGGGTGAAGACTGAAATAGTTAAGTTTAAATACTTTTGTATTTTCACCATGTTCTGAGTTAGGGACACATTACTGTGAAGACTGGTTAGAGTTTCAATCAGTTACAGAGCACTAGAGTAGTGATTTTTAGAATCAGACTGATGCTCATACATACATAATTCATCATAACTCGTAAATGCAAATCAGTATTATGAAGTTCACTGCAAGCCAAGATTGAGGGGTTTATTTCACCCTGCTGTAAATTGTTTTACAAGCAAGGGCTAAAAGACTTTACTGCTCGTACCTTCGAGGAAAAGGATTCAGCTTGACTTATGTACAAATGACTCAGGCTAACACCAGGATTTCAGGACTCTGATACAAAACTCCTCCATATTATTGCTTAGCCCGGAAGAACACAGAGACAATTGGAAATATAATTAACATTATTACTCCTATCCATTGTGTGGAAAAAACGTTTGATTCCTTTTCCCCCTCTGTTTTAATAGTGTTAAACAGAATTGTTGCCAAGGTTCTAATTCACCAGTCCCTAAATGAGGCTTAGTTTTACTGACTCTTAACTTACCCAGTCCAGCTCAAGAGCAGTTTGTTATTACCTGAGCTCTGTGACATATTCCAAAAGTTTTTCAGTGTCTGACTTTTCTTCAACTTTCTCTCTCTCAGTAGCAGACCTAAAACCAGGAAGTTTTCATGATGAATGTATTTAAAAAATTCAGAGCTACTTGGAAGCTATTTATTTACAGATAAGCAAGTAGAAACGAATAACTGAATCACAACTTAGAGTAATGCATACTTTTTTCATTATCCATTTTGGCTGACAAACTGGTATTGGCTCTAAGACTAAGAAGTGATTCTACCCTCTTTTGATACTTGCTCCATATGGTTCTCTCATTGCAGGAGGGAGGCTGAGCATATTGTACCACAAGCAACTAAGCTAGGACAGTTACATTAGCTGGACAAATTATAATTTCTTCCCTCAGTCACTTCCATTCCATACTACTTACAGTTTTTCTTGCAACTGTGCTACTTTTCCTTTTGAATGCTCTAGATTCCTTTGTACTTCCTGCAGCTTCATTTCCATATCTTCCTGCTTTGCAAGTGCAGTCTTAAAAAAAAAAAAAAAAAGAAAAGTATTACTATCAGAAAGATTGTTAAAAAAAAAAAAATCCATTGTCTAAGAGACAGTAGTAAAGTGAAATTAATTCATAGCTACAATTTAATGATAGCACTTGTTCCTATGCTAAATGCAGTTCAGAGTATTCCTCTCTAAAGATATTAGCCATTTATAAAAACAATCACCACACATCCCCCTCCCCCCCCCAAAAAAAAGTAAAAAAATCAAATACATGTAAGAGCTTCAAACTGTGCTTAGGACCACTGGTTTTCAAGGAAATCAGCAGTGCAACCAACAGACTGATATTCTAACAGAGGTATTTCTAGTCTTCCTTACTTGAAGGAAGATTTACTGTGCACATCAACAGCAAAATCAAGAATACTTCTCTATTTTCACTCTACAGAAATTAGAAGAAACTACTAGGTTGAGGACAGAAACAACACATGACCTGCAGTTCTGTGCCAAGCCCTTTCATTGACTCTTCCTGAGAAGCTCAGAATTACTATCCTGTGCAGTGCAAATGGTCATACCTTTTCCTTAGCATCCCTCTGGTTTCTGAGCTTCATTAACTCCATGCATAGGCTGCTCATTTTCTTCTGCACACCATCTTCAGACAGCTTATTAGAGAGGAATATAAAACCAATAAGCATAATCCCTTCATATGAATTGTTCTTCACACAATCCTTTAAAGTTATCCCCCTCCCGCCCATCCCCAGGATGGATGTTAACAGGTCCTGCTCTGCCTTTAGACAGAAGCACACAAGATCGCAGACCGGACATGCTCTGTCTCTGCTAGTGAAAGGCACATGAAAACAGATGCTGATCAGTAACTGAAGTTTCTTCTTTCCCAGGGAGCTTAACAACAAAGGCAAAGCAGATACATGCTTGTTTGAATACCTTTGACTTTAATAGTTCATTGGTTCTTGTTAGTTCCAGAAGCTGTTTTTTCAGGCATGCAACATTTGCCAAGAGGGATGTTTTCTCCTGAACTGCAGCACTCAGCTTTGCTTCATTCTTAACAAAATCCTCAGCCAGAGTCTGAAGTTTTTTATCCTGCTCTCCACGCTCTCTCACTAATGCACGTATCTAAAATAAAAAAAGCATTTTCTTTATTTCTACTATTATTCTTCTCAAATAACATCATTAGCTTGTGCCTGTGGTTTTCTTGGATGGACTGAGTATCCAAACTGTATAAACTTTTGTACAGAATATATATCTTTAACTCTGCCCTTCACAGAAAAGGAGATAAAATCACCATAGTTCTCTAATATTATATAGCTCAAATTTGCAGTCCTAGATTTTCACCTGACTTATTTTGTGCTACTGAGCCAGTACAACGTGTTAAATTCAGAATAGTCCTAGCTTCAAGTTGCAACAAAAGCCAACTCTCCTCTTTGGCTGTGGAACGGAAAAAGAGAATGTGACATTTGAGACACATAAGGCATACATCAGCACACAGAAGTGTGCTGATAAGGAAAAGCCAGCTGCCTCTGAAATATTAAAATTATGTCAATTACTAAGCAAAAATCTCAGCAAACAGATTGTTACTGTTACATAAAATAGAACCTTCTTTGGGTAGAGAACATAGGACTCTATTCTCTTTTAAAAACAAACGAACAGAGACTGGCTACACAGCTGATCACATGCAATAGGAATCAATGTAATTGCATTAGCAAACCCAATGCTTTCTACATATCAGAGAATTTGATAATCTCTTCTCTGTGCAGAGCTGTTTGTAAGCTACCTGTATGCTTTGTAATGAAAAAGAGGCTAATTTTACCAGCTTGTATTTTTTAAGTATGGTAAGTGGGAAACATTACAGGATTGAACTCATGGAATGTATTCATACCTCCTTCTCCAGTGCCTTCTGTTTCTTTTTCTCTTTCATAAGGAGAACATCTTTTTTAGGCTTCAGAGTCCCACTAGCAGGCTTTTGAAAACAGATGCATTAGACAGGTTAAACTCATCTGTAGCTGCTTACTAGTTTACCACCACAGTTAAATGCCTTCATATAGGCAATGCTATTAAAAATACACACAAAATAAAAAACCCAACCTCTCTCCCACAAATAGGGAAGGCAATTGTTGGGTTCGGATGGGTTTTACCATTGTACTTTCTCATAAGCATTACTCCGAACAGACAGCTCATAACCATTGTGCCAGGAAGGAGATTAAGAAAGTTTGAGACATTAGCACCCCCTAAACTCCATAAAAGCCACATCACTTCATCCTACATGATGAGTTCTAGTAAACTAAATTAGTAAGTCAGGGTTACAATTTTTTCAGCTTGGTGAGCTATGTATCTTCAAATACATGTCCTCACACACTGCACTAAGAACTTTCACCACTAGCTTTCTACTTTGCCCTGTCCACCATATTAAAGCAGAAACAAAAATACAATCGTCTTAAAAATAAGCAGCCACACTATCATTATATAGTGAACAAGAGGCAAAAATCTAAAACATCGTAACACCAAAGACAACAAGCCACTCTGTAGGCCCAAGTAATCATAACGTAATTCCCAAAGATGCTGCAATTTCGTTTTCCCTACTTACTTGTTAAGGACCACAGGCACAATAATGAATTCCATAGTTTGCTCAGTTAACAGTAATTGTATAAAGGTGCTAAGTGATTTAACCAGTCACAGTGAGGTTTAGATGGAATTGAACAGTGCTACAGACACTACGGAGGAATCTTACTGTTGATCCGAGAGATGCGAGCCTCCTGACAGTTACAGGGGTAGGTGCACTCTTCTCACTGCTCAGACTTGTCTCACCTGCAGAAGGATGCAAAAAAGAATGATGAAGGAAGAGGGCATGCATGCACAGTGAGTGAAATATAACCAAGCTAAACAAAGTTATTTGTCTTTTATACAAAAAACAGAATGGCACCTGATTATTAGACAATCCACCTTACAACCCAATGCCAGCTGTTTTCTTACTGCAATCAGGCAGTTCAGTATTAGCTATCCAGGCACTTGACAGAGCTTAGAGACACTACCAGATGACAGACAGTTTTGAGAACACAGCTTCTGCCAAGGTTCCCCCCTCATCCAGATCCATGCTGTCAGTTTTCAACTGAAGGATGTTTTATATATAAAAAACCACTGTGAAAACAATCACTAAACCAAAGGTTCATGAGGTAGTTAACCAATCTATTTGCTCTCCAGATGTCCCCATGATTAGCAGAAGTTACATATAAAGATGTTTTTGGAAGATTTAGTTAAACATGTTTTTTACAGCTGCTGTCCCCTTGAGCTGGAAAGTAGGCAGCGAACCCCTGCAACATAAAGTGATTTCCAAACAAGAGCAGAGCAGTAGAAGCATGTAAGCACTAATAATTATTCAAAGATATTATACTATTATGTTCTGTGCAACTTTTATTTGTTGTCTTACTTACTTGTCTGCTTCCTAACCGGTTGACGCATTTCAGAGGACAGAGAACTTTTCAGTGCATCTGAAGATTTAACAGCATAGGATTGTTGCAGTGGGGTACATGCTAGAAGTGAGATTTCAGAAACAGCAGAGAATTATAAATGCAAATGACAGAATTTCCAACTAGTTACAGCAAGTAACACATGTAAGATAAATCCACTTAAAAAAAAGGAAAATAAACAAACAACAGGGGGAGTCTCAGTACTCCTCATCCTCTCCATAAACACAAAGGAAACACGCACATGTGGTAGGGGAAAAGGTTCATTTGTTAGACCACTAATAAAATTAGGAAGTATGACTTACATATGCAATATTGCAGGGCAGCTGTTTAGTGATAGCAGTGCATTAACTTCCATAAAGAAAAAACCCCAAAGAGTTAGAGGATCTTAATGCTAATTTGTGAAAAGGCTAAAAAATAAACTAAACAAACTTCAAACTTAACTGTTGGCTGGTTTTTCTTTAAATCTTCCAGTTTAGAAGAGACTGCTTAGATGTTATTGAATGACAAGCTTTTCCTCCAAAGTAGTAAATTACTTAAACTTCATAAAACTAATATTTTTTTTTAATTAAACAATTTTAAGGGAAACAACAGACAAAACCAAGATGGCTTCAAATTCTTCGTACAATTATGATTACATCCAGGTGGTCTCAAGCCCAGTAAATGCTTATCTGCTTAGCTTTCTGCAAAGGAGAGCAACTTCATCTGACATGAGAATGGCTGACGGTAGCAGAGGCATTGAGCTGCGGCCAAAACCACATTATGAGAAACCTGTACATTAGAAAATGCTCCCAGTAGCAGTACTTCAGCTGTGGCTGATTCTGTATTTTTGTAGTTTTGTACTATGATATCAGAAGGCTATCAATCAGCTCCATGTTCTTCTTAGGTTGTGGACACCAGAACTGCGCACAGTGCTGCAAGCAAGGTCTCATGAGAGCAGAGCAGAGGGGGAGAACCCCCTCCCTCGACCTGCTGCTCACATTGATGGTGATAGAGCCCAGGACCCGACTGGTTTCTGGGCTATGATGCGTGCCCACACACACACATATGTATGTTCCTGGTAGCCACTTACGCACGACCAGGATTCGACCTGAAGTCAGAATGCTTCCCCTCGGAAGAAGACTCTCGCACTGGGTCAGCCAGCGGCCCCTATCTCAGGCAGCTCCCCACTCAGCGGGAAGGGAGGCAGCACTGGCGCACACCGAGGTAACCGCAGCCCGGTCCCCCCTCTCCCAGCACTACCGCGAAGGGCTCAGGCTCCCTCCCCGCCCGCCCGCTCCC